TCTGCTCATAACTTATACCTGTATGACTGTCGTTAGTATACCTGAGTGTTTATGCTTGCAAAATATGTATGTTGTTTTTGACTATTTTGTCATGTAAAGTGGTCTGTGAAGCGTTCTGTTGTGTGTGTTTTTATGTTTCTCAAATAAATCCCCATGTAAATAAGTTATCTTTTTTTTTTTTTTGAGATAAGGTCTTGCTCTGTCACCCAGGCTGGAGTGCAGTGACATGATCTTGGCTCACTGCAACCTCCGCCTCCTGGGTTTAAGCAGTTCTCCCGCCTCAGCCTCTCAAGTAGCTGGGATTATAGGTACCTGCCACCACGCCTGGTTAATTTTTGTATTTTTGGTAGAGACAGAGTTTCACCATGTTCGTCAGACTGGTCTCGATCTCCTGACCTCAAGTAATCCACCCTCCTTGGCCTCCCAAAGTGCTGGGATTACAGGTATGAGCCACCGTGTCTGGCTGTAAATAAATATCTTTAAAAAAATTTTTTTTTAATTCTTTTTTCACGGCCAGGCACAGCGGCTCGCACCTGTAATTCCAGCACTTTGGGAGGCTGAGGCAAGCAGATCACCTGAGGTCAGGAGTTTGAGACCAGCCTGGCCAACATGGCGAAACCCCGTCTCTACCAAAAATACAAAAATTAGCCGTGCGTGGTGGTGGATGCCTGTAATCCCAGCTACTCGAGAGGCTAAGGCAGGAGAATCACTCAAACCCAGGAGGTGGACGTTGAAGTGAGCCGAGATTGCACCATTGTACTCCAGCCTGGGCGACAGAGCAAGACTCCATCTCAAAAAAAAAAAAAAAAATTCTTTTTTCCAGAATTATATTTTTGGGATTTTGATCTTTCGGGATTCAGCACTCAGGATTATGCTATTGAGGATTGTGTCTTTCGGGATTATGATTGGCTCCTGTCTTAATTATTCCTTCCTACATGTGGCAAAGAGATCATATTAATGGAGATGCCCAGAACACTGAATCTGGGTACTTATCACAGCTGGGTAGGAAACTTGGAATTGCCATAGCTCTATGGTTAAAGATTACAAGGTCAGATTAAGCGCCAAAAAGAGTTCTTAAAAATGTTAATGGTTCCCTTTTTTTTTTTTTGAGATGGAATCTCTCTCTGTCACCCAGGCTAGAGAGCAATGGCGTGATTTTGGCCCACTGCAACCTCCACCTTCTGGGTTCAGGCAATTCTCCTGCCTCAGCCTTCTGAGTAGCTGGGATTACAGGCGCCCACCACCGTGCTCAGCTAATTTTTGTATTTTTAGTAGAGACAGGGTTTTGCCATATTGGCCAGGCTGGTCTGGTTTCAAACTCCTGACCTCAGCCTCAGCCTCCTCAGCCTACCTCAGCCTCCCAAAGTGGCTGGGATTGCAGGCGTGAGCCACCGCGCCCTGCCACTTTTCACATTTTATATGTTGCATCATTTGCTTCTTTCATTAATTAACAAGCATTTGTTGAGCATTTATTGTGTCAAGTATTTCCCACTGTTCATATTCTTCTAAGAGCAGCTTTTTACAGTCTTTATTTCTTAGACATTTTGAGGTACATTCCCAAAATGCTTGTAATAGTGGTTTTCTGTGCTTCCTACTCAAAATGTGCAGAGTGGGCCAGCAGCATTGGCAACATCTTAATAGAATTATAGACCCCATTCCAGACCTATTAAATCAGACCCCTTAAAGACCTCTTCATGGGAATTGTAACAGGTGTACCTTGTTTACTCAGCCATCACTCTCAACTCCTCGTGGGAGGGAATGTGCGGATGAATGAGATGGGAACTGGAGTGCAGAAGCGCTGGAACCAGCTAGCTGTTTTGGTGCTGGTAGGACCCAAGGCTGTGCGGGCCCCGTGGCAATATCCAGGAGGTGGTATCTGCATCCCTTGAAGCCCCAGAGGGCATGTTACAGCGCTCTTTTAGTTTTTACATCTGCGGTCAGCTTAAGTGTTAGCAGCTCAGTGTGCCCTTTGCCATTTCGAGTGAGGGGCTGCCCTCTCTTGAAAAGGCAAAGGGCCCACTGAGCTGATAACAGTGTGACAGCCTGTTGTATCTGCACACGTGGCTCCCATGTTCTTGTCCAGCGTCCAGGAAAAATGAGGTCACAGGAATGAATTGAAGGATGGTAAATACGAGGGATTTTATTGCCAGTGAAAGTGGCTCTCAGCGGTAAGGGGAGCTGAAAAGGGACTGGGAGTGGTTAGATAATCTTCCCCTGAAGTAAAGCCATCTTCAGCTGGATTCTTCTCCAAAGTTACACCATCAAGCTATCCCTCCAAAGTCAAGCTGCTTCTCTTTGACATCTAGCCATAGTCCCTGACGTCCAGCTGCTTCTCCTCTCTGCCTGCTAAGTCTGGGGTTTTTATAGGCACAAGATGGGGTAAGATGGGGCCATGAATGGTTTAGGAAAAGGCAACATTCCAGCAGGAAAACGGAGATATAAGTTCTCACTTTGCGCTGCAGTTTCAGGCTTTTCTGCTTGAGGGTGGGGTTTCGTCAGAGACGCATCCTTTTCTGCCTAGAATTTCTCTGCCCTGCTGTCTTTACCAATAGTGGTTTGCCACCTACTAGCAGCATGACCCAGGGGGAAGTTATTCTCTGAGTTTCAATTTCCTCAGCTATAAGATTACTGATTCCTCTTTCCTTATAGGATTGTTGAAAAGTTTAGTTGAGATAACGTAGATAATGCCCGACATGGGGCCCAGCACAGAAATAGTACCCAATATACATTTGCTTCTTTCCCTTTTCACTGCTTTGTTCCATGTGTGTACAGTTATTCTAGGTTTAGCTCATACTTTAAATAAAAAATTTTTTGAATTTTTCTTTCATTTTACTGGTTCAAGTTGAAACAAGAATGTAAACTCCATGATGACATAGACCTTGGCTGTTTTGTTTACTGTTGTGTGTCCAGCACCTAGCATCAGTCCTGTGCTAGGTGCCTGATAAGAATTTGTGGAATGAATCAATTAGTATCATGCATTTGAAGTAAATTTACTTGAGTAAATTTAGAGAATGCCTTTGCAGTTTATATTTGTCAGATGTATTCAGTGAAATCAATTTATTTTTTATAAACTTAGTGGCTTTTGGTTTTTTTTGAGACAAGGTCTTGTTCTGTCACCTACGTTGGCATGGACTGGCATGATCATGGCTCACTGTAGCATCAGCCTCCTGGATTCAAGTGATTCTCCTGCCTCAGCCTCTCAAGTAGCTGGAACTACAGGCACATGCTACCCATGCCTGGCTAATTTTAAAATTTTTTTATAAATATGATGTCTTGCTATGTTGCCCAAGCTGGTCTTGAACGCCTGAGCTCAGGTGATCCTCCTGCCTCAATCTTCCAAAGTTCTGGGATTACAGGGGTGAGCCACCATGCCCAGCCCCCAAAAACTTTTATTAATACCTGTTTGTCAGATACTATTCTAGGCATTGGGTATACAGTGATTTAAAAAAAAAAAAGGTCAAGGTTTGTGTCCTTGTGGAACTTACATTTTAGCTGGAGAGAGGGAAGAAAGGCAATAAACTGGTAAACAAATATGTTAACAAAATAATTGCAGATAATAAGTGCAGTAGTCCTGTGAGGGTTTCTGGGGGCACGAAGGCCACTACTTTTAGCTAGGTTATGTGGGGAGGCCTGGTAAGACATAAGACAGTAATGATATGAAGGAGACTAGCCTTCAAATAGCCATGAGAAGAGCATTGTAAATAGAACAGCATGTGTGAAGAGCCTGAGGAAGGAATGAGCTAAATATACTTTGTTCATTCATTCGGATTGTTAACATCCAGATAAAGTTACTTCACTTAGGCTGGTTCAGTGCAGTGGTGCTTACAGCTAATTGATCACAACCAGTTACAGATTTCTTTGTTTCTTCTCGACTCCCACTGCTTCACTTCACTAGCCTTAATTTTTTTTAATTACTTTATTTAAATAATACAGAGAATATGAGGAGACAATGTAAATGCTGCTTTGTGAGTGATGGGGAGGAAGTACTTTTAATTATGGCAATGAATCAAAGCATAAGATCATCAATAGTCGACTTCATTGCCCAGTGCTTTCAAAGTCCCCACGTGTGTTGGTTATTCTTTAGTAAAATAGGTATGACAATGCTTGTTGGCTGTTATTGTGAGGCTTGACTGATAATACTGGGATTTTGAGATCAAGAGGCTAGAGGCCAAGAAGTTTGAAATATGTAAGATCAACTGCCTGCTTTCTTCTCCTTCCCTACGAGTGAATCAACACTTCCTGAGTTTTTCTTCCTTATCTCACTTCTCTATTGTTAGTTTCACTTCCTACTCTTAAAAATGCTGAGCTTTTAAAATCATGTTTATCAGGAGCAAAAAGAGACTGAAAAGCTTAAAATGGGATACCTCTGAGAGAGGATGTAATTTGGAATTATAACATGAAAACCTAAGAAATTTTTTTGCAATTATTTCAGCTGTGTGCTTGTCATTGCTGTTGTCTAGTCTTACAAGAAACTGTCAGAATTTTACTTTTGCAATTTAATAGAGAAGTCTCTGCATTCTAAGAGATGTAAAGAAAAAGAACAATAAAGACTTGGGGAACTTTTAAATTTCATCGTCTCTTGAGGTACAGAAAATTTTGCAGGGAGTAATCCCTGCAAATCCTACACCTTCAGATTGATACCCTCAAAGGACACTAAACACAATCCTTTTTAAAGGAAGGATAAAACTGTATTTACTATATACAGTTCTGAGCATTGGATTTAATATGTGATGCATTTCACTAAGGTAGCCTCAGTGGGTACTATATTTTAAACTGCTCTCTCTATATGCATTATCTTTAGTGACTGAAGACATTAATATTTTATTCAGGATGTGTAGATATTTTTGTACTTTAATGGAAAACCTCATGTTTAATGGGTTGGAATTCTGTTTGTTGGCAATTGAATACCTAAGTATATTAATTTTTTAGGGTTTAGGATTTTGCAAACAGTAATGTGTTTTGCTTATAAGAGCCTCCCTTTTCTGTCTTCTTTTTAACAGCAACATCATGACAACAGAGAAGAGTTTAGTGGCTGAAGCCGAAAACTCACAGCACCAACAGAAGGAAGAGGGCGAGGGAGCCATAAACTCAGGCCAACAAGAACCTCAGCAGGAGGAATCTTCTCAAACAGCAGCTGAAGGAGATAATCAGTGTGAACAGAAGCTGAAAGCTTCTAATGGAGACACTCCTACACATGAAGACTTGACCAAGAACAAGGAGCGGACATCAGAAAGCAGAGGCCTTTCACGACTGTTCTCGTCGTTTCTTAAAAGGCCCAAATCTCAGGTGTCCGAGGAAGAAGGCAAAGAAGTAGAGTCAGATAAAGAAAAAGGTGAAGGAGGTCAGAAAGACATAGAATTTGGAACCAGTCTTGATGAAGAGATCATTTTAAAGGCCCCAATTGCAGCTCCTGAACCTGAACTCAAAACAGACCCATCTTTGGATCTTCATTCATTAAGCAGTGCCGAAACACAGGTAAAGATATGTGGATATGGGAGGTGGGCATAAGGAAGGCAGGTTATACACTTTATTTTTCATTTAAGAGTATTTGGTTTTATTTCTTTCTAGTCGACTTAGGCATTGATAGTGATTAGTTACATGAAGCTTTATGGTTTCTATTCTTTTTTTTTTTTTTTTTTTTTTTTTT